GGTTTTCCTGCTTCTCAGAGCTGGGTTCACACTGCACGAGAACATACTTGCTGAACACCATCCAAAGCAGCAAATTGAGATTCTTTGATTTGGGGAAGAACTTTGGGAGGAACCTTTCAGTCATTGGCATGAGATAAGAGAGAACCTAGTCCAGGCCCATCTGGGGCTTGCAGCAGGGAGGATCAGTTCAGAGAGAGGTGAGTGTACAGGTTGCTTTCGTTGTCGTCTGTATGTTTCAGCAGAGGCTCCCTGAGCTGGCTTGGGCTGTCTGGCTGGAATCTGCTTAGACTAGCTCATGGCACTGCAGAGAGAGTTCTCAGCCTGATTCAATATTGACTCAACCATCCTGAGACCACTGCCCTCCCTGCCCTCCCGCTGGTAGCTTGAGAATGCCCTCTCTCCAGATGCCAACCCCCCTTGGGGCTTAGGGTAACCATTTACCTGGTTCTTATTAGGGCTTGAGCCTGCTTGACTGCTTGGCCCTTTGTTTCTACAAGGAAAAAGTAGGACTCAATCTTCATCTCTATCATTGGGGTCAAGGGGGAAAGATGAGCTGAGATCTCCTCAAAGCAAGGTGTGAATTAGACCTTAAAGCAAGAGAAGGAGCTTCTCAACAGGAGCACAGGTAGCCTTGAGTGATGTGAAGTCTCTCTTGAAGAGCAGTTTTTAAAAAAAATCATTAAAGGTGTATGTGTACTTGGTATACCCAAATCTAATGGAACGTAAGAGTTTATGATGAAAAGCAGCAGGATTTGCCATTCATCTCTTCTTCTAACTCCTTTAGAATTAGCCTCTTCCTTAGCTCAGTATTGATTTCTGAAGGTTATTGCCAGAACTTTAGGCAAAATGCTTGTGTCTCTTATTTATTGATTTATTAGTTGTTACAAAGAGGATTAAGCTCTAGGATTTATATTTCTTGTCTACATGATTATATCATTTTCATTCAAGGAAGTGATTGTTACTTTTATTTCATTATTAAGGAAACCTTAAATAACATATTTGAACCTCCTTTTCTTTTCCATTAACAATGTTTAAAGAATTTTTTATGAGTTTGAGCCAAACTGATGACATACACTGGGGAGCAAGATATCAGATGCTCTCTTTTTTCCATTAACTTTTAAAAAAAATGTTTTTAGAGAGAGAGATGAAGGATGAAGGGAGGGGCGGGGGAGAGAGAGAAAGCGAGCGAGAAAGTGGGGGGGAGATTGTTGTTCAACCACTGAGCCACGCCAGCTGGGCTCCATTAACTTTAACAGTCTCTCTTAACTACCCATCTTGTGGGATGAAGATACTGGCTCCACTTTCCCTTTTTCCAATTCATATGATCCATCTCAAAGGAGAAGGAAAGTTGATCTCACCTTCTGTTTGGAGACAGAGCACGAAATCAGATGATCTTTTAAAGGCCATTCTGTGGAGATACAGAAACATATAAAAGCATGGGGATGGTTCTGAACCAATTCATATATATTTAGCCCATGGAAAAATATTTGATTTTGGATGTTTTAGGCCAAAACGACCCTTTGAATGTGTTGAGCCGGGTGAGGGGATGGATTTAGGGCTCTTGACCGTCATATTCCTAGCAGGGACCAGTTCAGTAAACCCTTTAAGGGAGGACAGTGGAGGGTTGTTTGCATAGAATCTTTTGAGGTGAAGAGCAGTGGAAAGCCAAGTTAAGTGATAACATTCCCTCACTCCAGAGTCCTCTGGAGACATTTACTTAAACGCTCAGTCACACAGAACACATGCCTGTAAACCCTCTGCCTTCTGCAGCTGCTCTGCTCTGCAAACCCCCCTGACGCTCAGATGAGGATTCCCGACATTGCCCAGACACAGCTGTGGAGCCCAGGCCTTCACTCCCTTTCCCAGAAGCCAGCTGCTGGGCCGGGGTGAAGGAGGCGTCTTGGATTCCCTTCCAGTCTCTGGGAGGCCAGATCGGGCACCTAGTGCAGCATATGAAGCCTCATTCGTCTGAATGTTGTTGAGAGCCATGGGAGTCATTTGATTGTCTTCTTTCCGTTTTTACTTTTTCTTCTCTCCGTTTTTTACTTACTCTCTGACTTGTAAAAAGGGTGCTGATTGCAGAACTTGTTTCTTCCTTTTTCCTTTCACTTTCTAGTCCTTTCACTTTCTAGTCCTTTCTAGTTCCTTATCAATGCTATTTTTTCTTTGTATTTGAAAGTGAATGAATTGATATTGAGGACCATATCTGGATTTAGATTTTAGAGAAGACTTTCCTGTTTGTTTTTTTTTTTATTGTCTAAATTTAACAAAAACAACCTACATTCCCTTTGGTACTTCTTTCCCCCCTGTTTGCTTCAGATGCAGCAGGCTCAGAGAGGCCAGGAGGGAGGCCCAGCTGGGCCATTTCCAGGGGCAGAGCTGCTTCTCTGGGAGAGAAGTCTGATTTCCCTGCACCTCTTGACATCGTCTGGTTCTTTAGGAAGTAAAGAACCAAGTGGGGTTTCTATTCAGTGGGAAAGTCCCCTGCATACTGTCAGAGGGGATTCCCAGCTGAGTCCCAGGGTAAAAGAAATGCTATCCTTACCTCTTTCACTGGTGCCAGTAATAATCCCCACTGTGATCAATCGGAGCAGACAGCTACTGCATTTCCTGGTGAGATCTGAGACACTGTATATGGGAGAAGGTCTTAACTTCCTTTTCCTTGGAAGTTTTGAAAAGTGGACCTTTGGAGGTATTGGTGACTTTAAAGACTCTGGAGTAGAGAAAAAGGGAAAGATGTGCCAAGCATAGAGAGATTGAGAAGAAAAAGGGTTGTTTGCATAACACGATTGAAGCAGCCATGTGGGTTTCTCAGTAGACCTAAAAGGTAGTGGTCCCAGTTGAATTAGAGTGACCTTCTGGTGCAGAGTGCCCCATAGAGGTGTGGCAGGGGATGATTAAAGCTTTCTCATTATTCCTGTGCAACCCGTAGTTGCGAGTAGAGACAGATCCAGCAGGCAGCCATGCTGGTTCTACTGCTAGAAGACACTGCATAATTTGGGGAGAGAGTATAGTGAGAGAGCTGCCACCTTTTTACCAATGACACACTCAAACTGCATCGGATATTAAATTCGGGGGCGAATGTCTTACTTGACAGAGTTGGGAGAGGGATAAACTGCAGTAGCCTTTTTTGGTGATCTCTGAGAACAGAGGAGTTCCCTCTGCCTTTCTGCAAGATTTTAATGCTGACTGCTGGGAGACAGGGAGCTAGACTACAGAATATCGGGCAGGTGAAAGTAACCTGGACTCTTAACACGTTAGAGGAGTAAGAAGGGACAGTGGAAAATGGGGTTTTCCAGAGTGACATCTGTATCCGGAGCCTCCTTCCACCTCCACAAAGTATACACACCCAGGTTCACTAGGGTCAAAGGTGATGCCATCAGGGAACTATCAGTGGTTGACCCTGCACTCCAGCTCTCCAGCAGCCTGTGCCTTTCTGTTGCCCACATCCTGGAGTATGTATTAGATTCACTCTACCTGCGTTTTTGTGAGGAGCCTTGGAGCTGACTGCAATCATCCTCTGGAGCTGGGTTGATCTGACATTGTGTGCCTCTCCCAGTCCTTACTTTGAAATTTCTTTCTGTTCTGCACTGATTCTCCTGATCTGGATTTGGTGAGGCCCTGGGGAATCATTTTAGGAAGGCAATGGCTTTTGTCAGCAGCGTTCTCGCTGAAATTCCTCCCGAGACTCCCTCCAGAGAGAGGGATTCCTGGTTGTGTAATTTCTGTTCCCTCTGTTCTTTAGATGTTCTAGACCCATGAGTTCCAGCCTAATTTCTTTTCCCTTTTTTTTTTTTTTTTTCTTACAGCCCCTCCAGTTCTTGGAGTGTGTGTATGATAATGGGGAAAGTAGTATTGGGATAGCAGAGGGCTGTCATAAATGTTTTGGAAGATTTTCAAACAACAAGGTAACTGAAATTCACTTCCCTTATAATAAACAGTATATGCGTGTGCACGCACACAGGTACACACACACACACACACACACACACACACATACACACACACAGAGTTTACTAAGCTTTAATTAGGATTCAACTAGCATTTATCGAGTGCTGCTTTGTGCCAGGGACTATGCTCGATCTTTTTACGTGCATGAAGTTACTTGTTCTGTGTGGCAATAGTGAGGTATAAATGTGTTTTTCTCGTTTTTGCAGTCGAGGAAATTGAAACTCAGAAGCCACATAACTTGCATAAGTTTATACATTTCATAATGGCAGGATTTTGAACTTCAGCCTATTTGACCCCAAGTTCAGAACTCTTTCCACTATACTTTAGCTGCCACAGCACTGGAGAAAGAGGAAATGATATCGTGAAGTCAGACAAATGGCAGGACTTCAGCAGGGCAGTTGATAGTTGTTTTAGAGGTATTTATTTCCAAGTGAAGCTAGGCTTGGTATTGCTGGCCCTTATTCAGTGGGAACTTTGATTCTAAAAGGGAAGGTAAAAATGTATCACTAACTAGAAAAATAAATCAATACTTTTAATAATAAATAAAGGTGAGATACTTAGGACCTGTGTATGGAATGTTAATGAGTAAGGAAATACAGTTTAAAGAGTAAAAGGCAAAGGTTATGGGCGGGCATTTTAAAGGAGACAATGGGAAGAGCACAAAGATAGAATAGGGACAAGGGAATAAGACCAGAAATGCTTTTCAATCTAGCTGAAGAATTTGTAGCCCTATATAAACATAACACATATAAAGCAACATTCTGCAAGTTAGGAACAGAGTCCAAGCTGAATAAATTCAGAAGGAACGAAGGGGAAAGCGGTGATTAGAGGGGAGGTGGTCAAGGAAAGCTTCTTGGCGGGAGATGACACTTCATCTGTTTTTGAAGGAGTCCAGAAAGACAAAAAGAGAGGAGGTACCTGGGAAGGTTTCATGGCAAAGGGAAGACCTGAGGATGGCACCACTAACCTATATGTATATGTGTCTTCCTTCCTGTTCCTTCCTCCCTCCTCCCTCCTGTAGCTCGGAAGCTCGAAGTCTGGCTGTGGCCATGGGAGACACGGTAGTGGAACCTGCGCCTCTGAAGCCGACTTCTGAGCCCACTCCTGGTCCATCGGGGAATAACGGGGGCTCCTTGCTAAGCGTCATCACGGAGGGGGTCGGGGAACTATCAGTGATTGACCCCGAAGTGGCCCAAAAGGCCTGCCAGGAGGTGCTAGAGAAGGTCAAGCTTTTGCACGGAGGCGTGGCCGTCTCTAGCAGAGGCACTCCGCTGGAGGTGGTCAATGGGGACGGTGTGGACAGTGAGATCCGCTGCCTGGACGATCCTCCTGCCCAGATACGAGAGGAGGAAGACGAGATGGGGGTCACTGTGGCCTCGGGCACAGCCAAGGGAGCAAGAAGGCGGCGGCAGAACAACTCAGCCAAACAGTCTTGGCTGCTGAGGCTGTTTGAGTCCAAACTGTTTGACATCTCCATGGCCATTTCATACCTGTATAACTCCAAGGAGCCTGGAGTGCAAGCCTACATCGGCAATCGGCTCTTCTGCTTTCGCAATGAGGACGTGGACTTCTATCTGCCCCAGTTGCTTAACATGTACATCCACATGGATGAGGACGTAGGCGACGCCATCAAGCCCTACATAGTGCACCGGTGCCGCCAGAGCATTAACTTTTCCCTCCAGTGTGCCCTGCTGCTCGGGGCCTACTCTTCAGACATGCACATTTCCACTCAACGACACTCCCGTGGGACCAAGCTACGGAAGCTGATCCTCTCGGATGAGCTGAAGCCAGCTCACCGAAAGAGGGAGCTGCCCTCCTTGAGCCCAGCCCCCGACACAGGGCTGTCTCCCTCTAAAAGGACTCACCAGCGCTCTAAGTCAGATGCCACCGCCAGTATAAGTCTCAGCAGCAACCTGAAACGAACAGCCAGCAACCCCAAAGTGGAGAATGAGGATGAGGTAAAATCCCCGGGAGGGACAGAGGGTCAAGGTGGCATGGAGACAGGATGTCTGACATAGGGTCACTCTGTCCTCTTTCCTTCCATCTGTTTCATTTCACTGATAAAAAGCATGGAATGTCAGAATGGAAACAAACCTTAGAATTCATGTGTTCCAGCTGCCTCATTTTACAAAGGAAGAACTCCGAGACCCAGAGAGATAAAGTGACTTGTCTCAGGTCCTAGAGTTAAAGGCAAGGCGGTACACCTGCCTGTCCAGTGTTGTTTCTACTGAACTGCGCTGCCATTCCATTAACTCCTTACTTACTGGGAACCGTGGCAGAGACCCTCCCCACCCTGACTTGAGACCTGGGATATCTACCAGAACCTCTCAGAGCAGCCACCATGGGGAGGAGAAGGGACTGTGTGTGTGGATTTTGTGTGTGCTGGGGACGGGGAGATGTTAAATAGAACCTCAGCCTCATTCTCCTGACCACTCCTCTTCATAATCCCTCCCTCCCACTCCCTGAAGATCCTGCTTTTTGTTTTCTTAAGGGTAAGGTTCATTCTTTTATCACCGAGGCATCTGCAGCATTCCTGCTCCTTGCCTTTTCTCAGGGGAAGGGATGTCGGTTGAGCTTTCCCAAATCATTTAGGGGGAGCACAAGGAAGAGAAGCAGTCTTGGTATAGAGTAAATCACGGTCCTGCCCAGTGTCTAGAAAGAAGACTGAGCTACAGCAGTGGTAGCAGATATCCATTTAGGATGCAGAGCAGAGAAGAGGTGAGCGCACCAGTAGGTTATACTCACCTTCCGTTCCACATTGTCAGCAGGCGAAGTTGCCCAGTGGACAGCCAAGGGTCAGTGACCTGGTATCCCAGCCGGACAATGGTGCCCCAGTTCCCCCCTCTGACTCACCACCAGCCTAGCTCCCATCCTGGCGACCAGCCCAGCACAGAAAAGAAGGGAGAAAGGAATGAGGAATTTGCAGTTGTTAGAAAATGCATATAGCCTTGGTGTTGGCATCTGCCTTTGTGGGACACATAACCCACCCACAGTTTTGATACAGTGGGACCTCTTTCAGCAAGAAGGAGGTCATAGTGACTAGGGAAGGGAAAGTGCAGGAGGGAAGGAGACTATAGAGCTTGCTTTCTCTGGAAATTCAGTCTTTTATTGTGGTCATTTAATAACAGGGAGGCTAAAAGAGCTAACATTTATTGAGCGCTTATTATGTGCATCATGTGAAGTATTTTACCAATACATTTAATCCTCACAACCACCCTAGCAGACAGATATTTTTTTTTTTACCATTGAGTCAACAGGCTTAGAGAGGCTAGACGATTTGCCCAAGGTCTCTCGGCTAGTGCCTGTCAGGCCAGACCTCACATCACAGCTGGTACGCCTAATCATTCAGCCGAGCTGCCTTGGTTATGTCTCAGCATCTGCTCTCCTGGATTTTCAGCTGTCAGAGTCCATTTGGGGAGGAAGAGCCCAGGCCTCAGCCATCTAGTTTCCACATCCGGGCATGGGCAGAGCCCACCTGTTTTCTCAGAACTAAAAAGGACCATTTTCATTTCTAGTTGTTTCTCAGGGAAGCCCAGAGCCATAAAGGGGGCTGTTGCAAAGCAAGAAGAACCATCCAGATCTGGAGAGACTAGGGTCATAAAAGGTTTGGGAGTTCTTTCTCTTGGGGTCAAGACTGTAACAGTGTGAGTGTGAGCACGTGGAAGTGATTGTCAGGCTTGCCTTTTCTCTGTGTATTTTATGTCCTCATCTTAGCATCAGAAAGGGTGAACCTCAGGGCTTTTCTTACTCTGTGCTAATCCTTAGTCCCTCTTCCTTGCATCTGATCCCTGCTCAGGTGAGATGATAGGCAACTCACGGAGGTGCCGGTCTTTTGTGAGTGCCTGAATCCTCTGGTGTGGCCTCTCCAGCTGCCATTCTTCCCAACCTGGATTCTCTATGGTGGGACACCAGACCTAGGAAAGGAAGGAGATACTACATCCCAGCCTCCTAGGTTATCTGATGCTGGCAGAACGAGACACCTGAGTCCACTGCAGCTCCTCGGGAAATGTGAGAGTGAGAGAGTAAACAGGGATATCACTAGGAGTCTAAGCACTGGAACCTTCAGCACAGAGCTCTCTCCACGCGCCTTTGGCATTCTGAGGATACATCTGGAAAGACCTTTGTCCCCCAAATACCAGTCCTTCTCCCTCTTCCCTGTCATGCAGCATTCATTCACTCAGCAGATAGTCGTTGAGCTTGTACCGTGGGTAAAGCCCCGTGCTGGAGGCAGTGGAGGGTGGGAGATAAAATGCTGTCCTTCTCTCCGGGAACTTATACACGGAGACCCCATTTCTAGGGCACTGTTTAGTTTGTGGCTCTTGATTTTGTATCCTGAAACTTTACTGAATTTATTTGAAGTTTTTTGATGAAGTTTCTGACTCTGAAAAAGTTGTTTCCTACATACGAGGAAGATGTACACGGCTTACCAACACCAGGCGCTAATTGTCTAGTTCTGAGCAGAGGCTCTAGAAGGAGAGGCTAGAAGGAGACCTGACTGCTCCCATCCCTTGCTTTCCCCACAGGTTCTGAGTCTGACCCTAGGCTCCTGCCACCAGGAGGAGGTGCTCTCGAGGGTGAGGCCGGAGAAGGCTGCCTCTTCCTGCAGAGCCCTTCTCTGCCCATTTCACAGAGGCTCCTGTTTTAACAAGGGATCCTTGACACTCTCCCGACAATCAGCACTCTCCCCTCTGCCATCCCCAAAGCCCACCTCTTCAAAACTAGTTTTTATCAGCCTACCCAGGGCACTGTGCTTCGGCAGTTTCCCTTCCCATTTATAACCAAATGGCAACTCATTTGGCCTAGGGAGAGGCCGAGTTATGTCCTACCCCACACCCTGCCCCACATAATGACACGCTAGTGGATCAGCTCTGCCTTTCCAGAACTGCAACCTTTGTACAGAGAAATCTGCTGCATGTCACACTGAAAGCCCCATGGGCCTTCCAGCCCGATAAGGTGCGGCATCTATCAGCTTCTTGGACGCAGCTTTTCTCCTTGGAGCTGACTCAATATGAGTGACTCAAGTATACAGAGTAGGAGAGAGGAGTCGATCATGATATACCTCCCCTCCCCCAGGGCTGTTAATGAGTCAGACAGGACCTGTCTGTGGGAGGCTCGGCTGGATCATTGTTCATGGAGCCAGCATCCTCCCGCCTGCTTTTACTCCCCCCTCCAGTGCATGGGGAGAAGTTGAACCACTAAGTTATAATAGACTGGTGTCCTCACCCCCCCTCAGGTCTCCCTGCCTTGTGAGTGTTTGGCTTGGCTTCTCCCTCAAAGTACCTCTCTCCCCAGATTCTTCCAGGAACGGCCTGACTGCAGGAACTCCAGCCAGCATAGAACTTACACCACGGAATTGACTTTAGTAGATGCTTGAAATGCTAATTGCAGAGTAAAAGCTCAGTGACCACTGCCCTTCTGCCCTGAGAGGTCCCAGGACTTTGTCTTTTAAGTCCAGGCCCCTCCCCTCGCTGCAGGTTTGTGCACAAATATTGCCCCTTCTCCCGGCTTTGGGAATGCTTGTCGCACAGAACCCAGGATGGGCCTGTGCATGTGCTGTAGCAGAGCCTCTGAATGAGAGCCTGGCCCTTTCCCCTGTTTTGCTCACGGATCCCAGTAAGACACAGGCAAGGTTTAGATAAACACCCGAGTCTGGGACCAGGACAGCTGCTGCTCAGCTGCTCAGCTTTCTCAGAGGGAGTAAGCCAGAACCTAGCTCCCAACTTCCGACGACAAATTGTAATTGGTTGTCACTCGAAATAGCCTGGTAGGAAGCCTGCGGAGGTATGGTAGGTAGGAAAGGTATTCATCCTTTACTCCATGCTCATGGGTCTGTGATACCCCTTGTCACATGACTTAAGGTTGGGATGAGGCTTCCTAGGGTGATAATGAGGTTGGTTTAAGAGGACATACACCTGGCACTGAAAGTTTAGCTTTTCTGCTTCCTCCTTGACACTCTCAAGAAGCTAGAGGAACAGGGGGTTTCCAGTATGGGTAGGAAGGGGCCATGCAGCTTGTTAAATTCAGGCCTTCTGTGGCGGCCTCCACTGAGACGGGTTTGGTTGAGAGCAGGGTTACCTCACTAAGGGTCCCAGCTATCGGGTTTTGTCCTAGGAGGAAAGTTCCTGCAGGCAAGAATAGAAAGGGAGAAAGTGAAAATCAGAGGCTGTTGTCTCTTCAACCCGCTGACCTCAGGTCTGAGCTAGCCCTCCAGCATCTCCCACAGAGTCATAGCTCTGGGCACGTGGCGTTTCTGGGTTGGCTTTCTTTCATTAGAACAGAAAGGTAGAGCTACACAAGAGGAGCAGGTATGATCCAAGCTGGACCTAAATTCTTTGCCTTTGTCTCTCTCCCTTCCCTCCCTGCCCTTTCTTCTCCCCTTGCCCTCGGCCCTTTCCCAGGAGCTCTCCTCCAGCACCGAGAGTATTGATAACTCATTCAGTTCCGTAAGTGGGGCCAGGCTGGGACTGGGTGGCAGGCTCCCCCCACGGCCGCATTTCCTCTCCGTCCCCAGGTTTTCTAAGTCTCCAGGTCAAGGCTGGCGTTAAAAGGTGCCTTTTCTTCCTGGGAGATCAGCCCCTCCTTCCCAGGCCTCCCAGGCCTGGAGGAGTTAGTCCCCTGTCTGTCGCCAGTGCCCTGAGCCCAGGCTCAGTGGAGCCCAGTCCGTCTTTTTCCCAGGGAGAGCTGGGATGCCGTGTGACTTAGCCCCCAGCCCCCGGGTGTCCGGATCAAACAGCTGGGGCAGAGGCACAATTTACCCCTGGATTGATGCCAACCCCTGCTTGGCGGAATCCCCCAGGATCCTGTGTCTCCCACCCAGGACCCTTTCCCCATGGCTTCTGCCTTCAGACCATCAAATATTTATTCAGTCTTTTCCAAATGCTAGGTCCTGTGCTGGGTGAGCTGATTCCAAAAGCAAACAGGATTTGGTCCGAAGGAAAGTTTTATCTCCCCATAGTCTTTTTTTCTTTTTAGCTTCAACCACGTTTCTTCCAGGTCTGAGTTCTTCCCTTTCCCAGCTCCCTGCCCAGGATGTTCCTTAATCATTATTCTCCTTTCTTGTTGCCTCTGGAATAACTCCTGACCTGGTCCTACAAGGTCTTGGACCTTGTTGCTGGGCAGAGACGTGAGAGGAAATGCCGGACCCTCTGGGAGTTTGGATGATTTTTTTTTTTTTTTTTTACACTTTATTTTTGATTTGTCTACCCAATCAGTTTTCTCTGTTCTGTGCTGATCTCCTTTCAATCATGATTCCTATCTCCTCCCACGTGGCAGAGCCTGTATTTGGAGGCCTGGGGTCACGTTTCAAACATGCTCATGTGACGTAGGGGCCCCCACCCCAAATGCTGATTTGAAGATGGGAAGGAATTCTGCCTTTTTTAATCTGAAATGACTCTGAATTGGTTGGGGTGGAGGATCATTGGAACAGTGACCATTTGCCACCTGAGTGGATGGGTTAGGGGATCAGAGTGAATGAAGAATTGAGCTCTCTTTCTTTCTCTTTCTGTTAGGTCCCTGGGATATTTCCAGGGACCACAGAAGCCTCGTTCTATTGTCTTCCTGAATCTCTCTTCAACCCTGCCTCACAAGACATTCGTGACTGAGGCAGACACCCTGTTTCAGTATTGTGGGGCCCCAGAGCCAGCCCCTTGCGGGGTAGAGGCTGAGAGATGAGCTGTTCTTTGAACCTGGCTCTGCACACATGCAGAGGTGGGCCTGGTACTGCCCAGCTTTCAAAAGAAGCTCTTTTTTGCAATTTGAGGGAGTGAGGGTAGAAATTCTCAATCAGGAAACTAAGCAAGACACAGAGAGGGAGAGAAGTCTGGTGAGTGAAATACTGTTTCAGTGAGCAGATGAGATACTGTTCTTATCTAGCTGAGGGGAGATGAGGTGGCTACCTTGATAAAATGCCCTATGGTAGGAGGACTTGGCGAAAAGACTCCCTCTTTATGTCTAGCTCAGCCCACCCCACCTGACCCCCCAGACTGACTGCCCTTTCTGGGAACGACTGAAGTGCCCACATGAAGAGCCAAGCTCACAACAGGGAGCAAATCTGGGGACCCTCGACTTGAGAAGTAGTGCAAGAGGACCCAAGGAGGAATCACAGAAAAGGGACATGCCTTCAGGGTTATTGTTGAGGAGTGAAAGGAGCTATTGCTTTTCCCACCTATCTGCCCACACTAGTCTCCCTCCATCTGCTTTCCGCATTGATCATCCTCTAATCCCAAGTCTGCTCATCCTCTTCTCATCCCCTGCATGCGCATTGACCTCTTGTAAGAAATCATAGGGTGGGTGGGGATGCATGTAAATCAACAAAAGTCATTTGAATGGAGTGAGTCTTCCTTTGAAGGGGGAGCTATTGACTTGGGGCTCCCTCCCGAGCCTTGTGGGCTGGGGCTCAGCCAGGGATCCAGGTGGGGAGAGGGACACCCTCATTCTCAAGATGGGTGAAGCCCTTTAGGTGTAAGCAGCTCTTCCCTCTGGAACCCCCACCCATCTGGAAGCCTTGGGACAGTTCCTGAGGAACTCGGTTCAGAAGAGGAGTGTATCCAGAGACCTGATTCCACACTCCTTTACCCTCAGTGAACAGCTTGTGGAAAGGAATGTGCTGGCGTTCACCTGTTCCCAGCTCAGTTTGCGGGGGTGGGGGGAGGGTCTACTAGGCTGAGAGGTAGCTCCGTCCCTGGGGTTCTCCAGACACAGATCCCTGGCCTGCACGGCGGGCCAGTGGGACTGACTGAGTGGGAGGGCCACCTTTTGCTATGATTTCTTTACCGTCTTTTACTTCACCCCAACCTTCTATAGCCTGTCAGACTAGCTCCTGAGAGAGAATTCATCAAGTCCTTGATGGCGATTGGCAAGCGGTTGGCCACACTCCCCACTAAGGAGCAGAAAACACAGCGGCTGATCTCAGAGCTCTCCCTGCTTAACCACAAGCTCCCTGCCCGAATCTGGCTGCCCACTGCTGGCTTTGACCACCACGTGGTCCGCGTGCCCCACACTCAGGCTGTTGTCCTCAACTCCAAGGACAAGGTAGGTGGGCTCTCCTCCATGGTTGTCCAGGGTTTGTGTCTGTGCCTGGAGATGCCCGACCAGCGTCCGAGATCCTTCCAGGTTTACGTGCATGTGTCCCCTTAACTTGACCTCGTGGTGATTCTGAGGGCCCTCTTGTTCCCTTCTTGGGCTTTGTTTCTCGTGGTCACAGAGGCCTGATCTTTCCAGCTCACCTCTTGCCATGTCTCAGGAGAGTGTCACTCTCTACCTCTCTGTAGCCCTCTACAACTTGTTGGCTTTCCAGATATGGCAACATGGGAATAGAGAAGTATTTTGTTTCTAAGACTTTTTCTGAACAGAGTGGGCAAGAGAGATCATGCCTTATTCACATTGAGAGAATTAGCTAAATGTATCTGCTGGTTGGGATGGTATCAGGTTCAGGTTTTTCTTTTAGAAGTAGTGAAGATTAGAGCCCTGCTTGAAACAGTGCCCTGCTCTCTCCTAGTCTTTTTGTCTTTAGGACAAGCCCTGCGAGGCTTCCATGCCTCTCTGATGGGTTGTAATTGATGGTTTGGAATGGTTTAGCCCAACTGTATCATCTACACATTTTGAAACTCAGCTGAACCATTTTGAAGAGTTAGGTGCACTCTCTCACCCAAATTCTTTACATAGGACAAGTTCCTACCCTAAATATGGCATTCACAGTGTCAGGGGGACTGATGGTTGTGGGTTGAAGCTAGGAGCAGGCAGCAGGAAGAACTGTGTTAATAAAGTTGCAATTGGGGGGACAGTGGTACAGGTGAATTGCAAATACTGTTCTCACTTTCCCCCAGGCTCCCTACCTGATCTATGTGGAAGTCCTTGAATGTGAAAACTTTGACACCACCAATGTCCCCGCCCGGATCCCGGAGAACCGAATCCGGAGCACACGGTCCGTAGAGAACCTGCCCGAATGCGGCATCACCCATGAGCAGCGGGCAGGCAGCTTTAGTACTGTGCCCAACTATGACAACGATGACGAGGCCTGGTCCGTGGACGACATAGGCGAGCTGCAGGTGGAGGTGAGGGAACTCACAGAGGTAATACAGGGCACAACGCCTATCTCCACGAGCTTCTGGTGTGTTTGAGACAAGACAACACCCTGAGGCAGGCTGAGGCAAGCGCACACGTGAGAGGGGCAGGTAGTGTTGGGAATGAAAGGGGAAAGCTCTGAACAGCTCTAGTCGAATAGATTCAGGTAGAGCTCATTTTCCAGCAGGGAATTTAGGTTAAATGGAAGGAGGAACTTCTAAGCTGAGGAAAGAGAGAGAAATTTAATCAAAATATTTATTGAACACCTGCTATATAAACTTGTTTTAGAAAAGCAGAGAATGGTAAAGTGACGTACGTTCATTCACTGAAGAACTATTTACGGAGGGCCTTCTTTGTGCCTGAATGCTGTGTGCTAGGGAACAAGGCCTGGCCCCTGCCTGCAAGGAGCTTCTGACCTAACGGGAGAGCCAGCAGGTAGTTGTAGTGGGGTGTGACCCAGGTTATGCTGGAGAGGATGGGGGATTATGAGAGCACTTGATGGTGGGGGTAGCACTTACTCCAGACTTGGGGTTGGACACACCCCAAAAGGTTTTCTCAAGGAAATAATATCTCAGCCGAGGCCTAAAGATGGGTTTGAATTACCTATTCAGGCAGAGGGGATGGACCGTGCAATGACTGGAAGACAAGAGAGTTTGGTTCGCCTTAGGACCTGGAAGACATTTTGTGTGATGTGTGAAGTGGTGACAAATGAGGCTGGAGAGGCCCACGTGGGCCAGATTGTAGACAGGATCCTGTAAGCTGTGGGAAGAAACTTAAACTTTATTCTGTGGTTGTACGGAGCCAGGGAGGGATTTTATGTAGGGCTGTGACACACCTTTGGGGAAAGACAGACTGTCCTTGAGCTTACAGTCCAGTTGGGGAGATTGGACACAGACATTTAAGATATACAACGAGGCAGTGGACAATAATGTGATGAATGGCCGAAACTGGTTTGGCTCAATGGATAGAGCATCGGCTTGGGGACTGAAGGGTCCCGGGTTCGATTCCGGTCAAGGGCATGTACCTTGGTTGCGGGCATATCCCCAGTAGGGGATGTGCAGGAGGCAGCTGATCGATGATTCTCTCTCATCGATGTTTCTAACTCTCTATCTCTCTCCCTTCCTCTCTGTACAAAATCAATAAAATATATTTAAAAAAAAATAATGTGATGAATGGAGTTGAGGAGAAATGCTCTGGTACAAAGGAGAAAGAAGAGAAGGGACTTGATAGTTAGAGGGGAAGGGGAGAGTAGATTGAAGAAATGGTCATGGACCCTAGTCTGGAGAGTCTGTTCTGGACCTTAAGGGAAAATAGTAAATGCATCCCTAGCCTTGGGAGCTCTCAATAGGAACTGAAAGTTCTACCTGGCCGGTGTGACTCAGTGGTTGAGCATCGACCCATATACTAGGCGGTCACAATTCAGTTCCCGGTAGGAGTAGGGTTATGGGCTTGATCTCTAAGAGGGGCAATCTCTCTCATCACTGATGTTTTTATCCCTCTCTCCCCCTTCTTCTCTCTGAAATCAATTTTTAAAAATGACGGAAAGTTCTGCTTTCTGTGATGGTCATGGCAGTGGTTTGCAAACTTGAGTGTGCAGGGAGTCTTCTAGAGAAACTGTTAAATTTTCAGCTTCCAGCCCGGCTGGAGTGGCTCAGTTGGTTGGAGCATCTTCCTGTATACAAAAAAGGTTGCGGGTTCAGTTTCCAGTCAGGGCACATACCTGGGTTGTGGGTTCGATCCCTAACTGGAACACATATGGAATCGATGTTTCTCTCACATAGATGCTCTCCCTGTCCCTCTCTCTCTCCCCCTTCCTCTTTCTAAGCAGGTCCTTGAGTAAGGGTTAAAAAAACAAACAAACAAACAAACAAACAAACAAAAAATTCAGACTTCCAGATCCATTCCCAATAATTCTAATCCAGATTGATTGTTCCATATGGGAATATGGTTTTAGAAGCATTCCAAATGTTTCTGATAGAGAAACAGCACTGTAGGACCTATGTGTGTGCCGCGGCAGTTTGGGGTCAAAGTAATCAGGATGGCATGTAATCAGGGGAAGGTGTTTGGAGCAGACATAGGAAGAGAGGGATGATCATTATCTGCAGATAGAAAACACTCTAGGTGATCTGTTGAGGTGAAAGAAGCGAGACCTGTGCCTAGTGCTTTTGACTAATCCATCCACTGCTCTCCCCAGCTCCCTGAAGTGCACACCAACAGCTGTGACAACATCTCCCAGTTCTCTGTGGACAGCATCACCAGCCAGGAGAGCAAGGAGCCTGTGTTCATTGCAGCAGGGGACATCCGGTAAGGCCAGACCACACTGCCTCTCATTTTTCAACCCTCTTTAAGGCTCTGCCTGTCTCTCTCTCCTCTTCTGTCAGCCTGTGTCTTTCCCTTTCCTCTCTCTTTACTCTGTCCTTGTCCTGAGGCCACCAAACTTGAGGCAGTGAAGGGGTAGGTAGAGAAATTACTAGGCTACTACAGAAAGAAATTAAATGTTGCCCTAATGGGTTTGGCTCAGAGGATCAAATGTCGGCCTGCAGAGTTAAGGGTCCCAGGTTCAGTTCTGGTCAAGGGCATGTACCCAGTGGGGAGTGTGTAGGAGGCAGCTGATCGATGTTTCTCTCTCATCAATGTTTCTAACTGTCCCTCTCCCTTCCTCTCTGTAAAAAATTTAATAAAATGAATATTAAAAAAAAAAAAAAGGAAATTAAATGTTAAAAGAACTCCAAAGGGTTGAAAGCAGCAGAGGGAGGAATTAGAGCAGCGTTCTCCGAGTAGGTGCAGGGATGATCCACATGTCAGAATCGGGAGAGAGAGCTTTCTGAAAATGCAGATGCTGGAGCCACAACTGTTCTGAACCAGAATCTTGGTAGAGGAATGGGAGGGTCTGGTGATCATCATTTTTATCATGATTCCAAACCATCAGGTTAACAAAAAGGTATCAGTGGCGTGTTTCCTTCCACGAGTCTCTCAGCCTAGGTTTCTCTCTGTGCCTAGAATCAAGGAAACAGTGCAGGCAGTGCTGCCACAGACAGGGCAGGAGGCTCTGGGGTAACTCCTTCAAGCAAATGATACCATTTCTTCCTGCTAGACGGCGCCTTTCGGAGCAGCTGGCCCACACCCCCACAGCCTTCAAACGAGATCCAGAAGACCCTTCTGCAGTTGCTCTCAAAGAGCCCTGGCAGGAGAAAGTGCGGTGAGTTGGGGAGGAGGCGGGTGTCTCTAGACCTCTCAAAGCTTAGAGACAACTGCAGGAACTCGCAGCACCATCCCAGTGTGCACTGGGCTCCCCCAAATCCACCATGCTCCCACTCAGTCCCAGTCCTTGCCTTGTGGGGAGTTGAATTTGCATTTTTGGTAGAAGCTGTGTCTCTGTCATCACCTTTTGACACCTTTTGCTTCTCTCTGTGCAGGCGGATCAGAGAGGGCTCCCCCTATGGCCATCTCCCCAATTGGCGGCTCTTGTCGGTCATTGTCAAGTGCGGGGATGATCTTCGGCAGGAGCTGCTGGCCTTCCAGGTGTTGAAACAGCTGCAGGTAAGACAGGGAGGGAGAAGTAAGGGACTCAGTTCTCTGCAGCCCACCTGAGGGGACCACACAGATTGTTCAAAGGGAACTCTACTGAGGACAGCTTCCTGCCCAGGTCTAAACTGGATGTACATTAAACTAAAGCTGGTGCTTCTTCACTATTGTACTTCCCCTGCCATAGTACAGCCACAAAACAGCTCCACAGCAACCTCTTGTGGCCCTTTTGTGATTTGCACCCATTCTGATTCCTGGACTTTGTCCTTCATCAAAAACTCCCATGTGAAAAGCTCATAGACACAGGCAACAGTATGGTGATTACCAGAGAGAAAGAGGGATGGGCAGGGATAGAAGAGGTTAAAGGAGGGATAAATTATGATGGAAGGAGACTTGTCTTTGGGTGGTGAACACACAGTACAATATACAGTAGGTATATTATGGAATTATACACCTGAAACCTATGTAATTTCATAAACCAATGTCCCAGCCTTGGTGGCCTTAGATTCTAGTCCATCAAGTGAGTAAAACCCACTGAAGACAAGTTTTTAAAGAAAACCTATATAATTTTATTAACCAATAAATTCAATAAAATAAATAAATAAAAACTCCCCATCTGGTCTTCATAAGTGTGTTGCAGTGTGCTGAGATGTCAGTCCCCTGAGCCTTTGGGTTGGTCGCCTGCCAGCAGCTCCACCTGTTTAGTCCAGTTCTTTATACAGACATTTTCATTTCTTAGAGGAGCTGTCTGTGGACCTGAGTCCTTTTCCCTGTTCCTTGAATTTGAATCAGTAGCTCCGACTCTTGCTGCTTGTGTGGTGCCCTGTTCTCTCTGCTTTGTGGGGACTATCTACCCATAAGATGCCTTTTCCCATACACCTCCCTGTGTCTTGTCAGAAACTGGGTTTTCTTTAAAAACTCCTTGGTCCTCATGGGCTTTACTCACTTGGTGGACTAGAATTCAAGGCCACCAGGGCTGGGAACTGTCCACAGTTAGGGATAGAGGGCTTCTCGCCTCCTCCCCCAGTTTGAATGAAGGATGATGGTCCTGTGTCTCCTCGCAGTCCATTTGGGAACAGGAGCGAGTGCCGCTGTGGATCAAGCCATACAAGATTCTTGTGATCTCGGCTGACAGTGGCATGATTGAGCCAGTGGTCAACGCTGTGTCCATCCACCAGGTGAAGAAACAGTCACAGCTCTCCTTGCTCGATTACTTCCTTCAGGAGCATGGCAGTTACACCACTGAGGCATTCCTCAGTGCCCAGCGCAATTTCGTGCAAAGTTGCGCTGGCTACTGCTTGGTCTGTTACCTGCTGCAAGTCAAGGACAGGTAGGTAAATTCCTGACCCTCATCCTAACCTTTTTCCAGGGCTATTTCTGTCCCCTCATATGTAGTTCTGGTATACTCACCGCCACCTTCCACTGCCGAGACGTAAGAGACAAACAACATATTTTAAGCAGAGACAGACCTGTTCTCATGCCATTAAGCCAGAGAGACAGACTGACAAGTCCTAGGGTAAAGGAGCGAGATCTGAAGGATTTATGGGGAGAGGCAAGGGTTTGAACGAGCAGGCTCTTAAAGGATGAAGGAGAAGGAGGGCAGAGGAAGCTGTGGGGAAGGACACAGAGTTCCAGAGGAACAAGTCAGTGTGAGCAATGCTTGGGCTCCTGGCTCTGACTGGGTAGCTCAGTTGGTCAGAGTCTTGTCTCAATACTCCAAGGTTGTGGGGTCGATTCCCAGTCAAAGAACACACAAGAATAAACCAATGAATGCATAGGCAAGTGGAACAACAAATGGATGTCTCTCTTCCCCCCATCCTCTTTCTCTCTCTCGAGTCAAATAACAAAAAATGAACATTTTAAGAGAAGTTTGGGCTCTGCTGCCAGGCAGGAGAATAGTAGGCAGTGATGTCAGACAGGTGAGCAGAGGCCAGACTGGAAGCACCTGCACAGTGAGGTGAGGAATGACATGACCAGTCTTGGTTTAGGGAGTGCACCCTAGGGCACTGAGGGAGGTTGGTTATAGCTCGGCCTTTAAGCAGCAAAGCAGGAGGTAATGAGTCCTGACCTGAGGGAGGTGGTAGTGACTGAGGGCGGAAAGGAGAAGATAGGTATGAGAGGCATGGTGGAGACAGAGTTGAAACTCCCAACCCTGAGATCTCCTTTTGTTCCAGCATACCATTTTCAAAACGTTTTAAGTATTTCCTGCTTTCCCCAGAGCTGTCTTTTCCAGCATCACATGATGATTATGAGGCCCAGCTTCGCATATAGGTGAACAACATAGCGTACAAAAACAATTCCAGGGGTGAGGGCATTTATGGGAGTGGGGTGGGGTGGGGCAATGGTAAGATATGTCAATATACAATACCTAAATTTAAAAAAATGGTGGGGGGGAAACTCCACCGGACGTGACTCAGGGTCAGTATCCTGAATGCTCCTGTGAGTTGCACCTCTCACGGGCATAGGCAGCTGCCGTGGGAAGGCAGAAATACAATGGCTTGAGCTTCCAGAGCTCCCAGGACACGGTGACACTTTAGGATCTAGCCAACAGAGAAGCTTGTTTGCTTTTGTGGAAACCAGCTGAAAAGGCTCAGACAGGTGTTTCCTATGAGGGGCCTGGCGGTCAGAGCGCTTTCAGAACCCGCGCTCATTCCATCTGGTCAGCCCTACAATGAGCCCAGTGGAGGCTTTGCACCTGAGGGCTGAAGGAACATGTAACTGTTTATAAGGAATTTGTTTACAAGCTTTACACTGTCCCTAAAGAGTCAGGGTTTTGAATCGAGGCCACAGCCTAGAACTGAGCCTCAAGTTTGAGTAAATGGCAGGGAAGCAGGTGCTGGTCAGGCTTCATCCTTAAAAAAGGAGGAGAGGAGAAGGGAACAGGCAGCTGAGAAACCTTTAATGACAACTCAAAAAAGAACAGATATAGTCAAGCCCCGAAGAAGCCTGTGGAACAAACTGGCAACACTGCCTGGGCTCCGCGGAAGATGCAGGTTAGGATCTTGAGCTGTTTCAGAATGAGCCCAGCTACCTCCAGCCGTTAGGAGAGCGGGCCCCTCCCTCACTGCTCGAGACCTCTCAGGGCCTGTCCCCCCCCCCCCCCCCCCCCCCGTAAAAATGGAAGGTAGAACCGAGACAGCGAGGATCTTTCTGGCTCTTAAGATTGTGCCTTTGTGGTTACATTTGTAGAGCTTCCGCGTAGAAAGGACTCAGGTGGGACTGGCTCTCCTACTGTCCCTCCTTTTTTGGCCACTCACACCAACCCCAGAGAAGGTGGCCACAGACCTGCTGACGCTGAGGCTGGTTATCCTGAATGGGCCAGGCCTCACATGCTTTGCACGTTCATTGTTCCTGCTCCTGGTTATTCATGTGTGGGGTCACAGACCTGGGCTCCTCTGTAACTCTCCCCTTCCTGCAGCTGGCCTTGGCCACTGCAGCCTGGCATTTCTTCCTGGGTGAATCACCAGGTAGTTAGAGCTCACCCTTGGAAGCCCCCACGTTATTTTACACTTACACTCCTCCCAGCCTGCCACTCCCTTGTGGGGAGGGGCTCACAGAAAATGCAAGCAAATAGGTTCTGATTGAGGCCCGAGCCAGTGCTTGGCCTGTGACAGCTGGTGGGAGCCTCGGGGGCTTTCTTCCTTTGCGGCTGGGTTTTCTACTAGGTTGGGATCAATTTGGGTGATAGAATCACAATCTTAAGCTATTAAGTTGTCAGTAAATGTGACTTCAGACCCCACAGCCTGTTAGCAGTGTATGTTCCTGATTTCCAGTTGGTGCTGCTAGCTTTAGGTCATAGGAGGTTGGACCGAGTTACAGGAAACATGGCAGGGACTTCCCTGCCCGGAGTCATGTGGCCAGGGTTTCAGCTGGAGGCTGCCACCTCATACTGCCTTACACTGCCTCTCCCTCTCCTTTGCCCTCCTCAGACACAATGGGAACATCCTTTTGGACGCGGAGGGCCACATCATCCACATTGACTTCGGTTTCATCCTGTCCAGCTCTCCCCGAAACCTGGGCTTTGAGACGTCAGCCTTTAAGCTGACCACAGAGTTTGTGGACGTGAGTCAGGAAGGAGAGGTGCCTCACTGTGTTCTTTCTCTGTCATGGGAGGGGGAGCTAGTGGGCTCCCCCCAGATTACGGACAAACAGAACAGAAGTGGCAGTAAGTCAGGGTGAGGCTGGGTGTCCGAGGCTTCCTGCCTGCTGAGAGTTGGGAAATAGTGGGCTTTGGCATGTTCGTCCTGACGGTGGGAGTTCGCCGGCTAGGGGTACGCTGAGCCTTTATCCCCACAACCTCCTCTTCCCCTCACAGGTCATGGGCGGCCTGGATGGTGACATGTTCAACTACTACAAGATGTTGATGCTGCAGGGGCTGATTGCTGCTCGGAAACACATGGACAAGGTGGTGCAGATTGTGGAGATCATGCAGCAAGGTGGGGCTGGGGAGAGGCAGGAGGGACAGGGCTGTGCCCAGCACGGGATTTCTAGGAAGTACCTTCTACCTGACACCAGGCGGACAGGGGTTCCCAGCCATTTCTCCTTCGGGACATGCCTCCTGACAGAGCTAGGTCCTGGGGGTAGATGGGCGGAGGCCCCAGAAACTACCTCCTCTCGGCATCTCCAGCCTTTTGGTCCCCCTCCCATTGCTCAGCTCTTCACCAGCTCAGGTGTTTCCAGTCACCACTTTCCTCCCCACCTGGCTTTGACCTCCAATTGCCCTGTCCTCGGGCCCCTTCCCTGTCCCGATACTCATCTCTCCTGCTCTGAGCTTAGTTCCTCACCTGTCACCTATCCAATCACCGTCCTGCCTTCACTGCCATCATCTAGTCTTGTCCCTCCTCTCCCAGCCCTCTGGGCCCTTGTCCTAACCCCACTCCTTCCGGGTGCAGAATACACCCATTCTGAGCTGCCAGTCTCCTCCTCCTCCCCACCCCCAACCCCGCTCCACAGGTTGCCGCCGTTGCTCAGGAGCACCCCTGTCTGGCCCCTTGACGACAGTGGCCCAGGTCATCTGTGAGTGTCAGACGTAGCGTAGGCAGAGCCCTGCAAACCAGATAAGTGCCCAGCTCAGGGCCCATTCCCAGCCTTCCCTCTGGGTCCTAAGCCTCTGCTCCCTCAGCTATCACTGGGGGAGATGTGGTGTTGGCCCCCTGCCCGCCTCTACCCTCATGCCCTCACTTATAGAGGGGCTTTGGAGCATGGCATGAGGAGGGGTGCAAGACAGGGCCTCCCGCCATTCTCCGTTCTCCGTTCAAGCAGAACTGCATTCACGTGCTCCGGGGTCTTTCTAAGGTCTTGCTGGGCTGTTACCTCTGGCCCTCCCTCCTTTTGGTCCATGAGCCTCTGCCCTTCCTGCCTTCCCAGGTTCTCAGCTCCCTTGCTTCCACGGCTCCAGCACCATCCGCAACCTCAAGGAGAGGTTCCACATGAGCATGACCGAGGAGCAACTGCAGCTGCTGGTGGAGCAGATGGTGGACGGCAGCATGCGGTCCATCACCACCAAGCTCTACGATGGCTTCCAGTACCTCACCAACGGCATCATGTGACCCCTCTCAGGCCCCAGCGTGGTGGGGCATTCCGGGGACCCTCCCTGGGAGAAACCCCACCCACCCACTCACCCACGGGAAACGGAAGGCCAGAAATACAAAGGATCATGTGGTGACTGGAGAGCTTGCCAGGGGAGAGCCAGCTGTGGGGCCCAGGCTTGCTGGGGCTTCCCTGCCCCCAGCGGTGTCAGTATTACCACCCGAGGGACTCCAGGACTCACTGCCCCCCAGAGGAGAGAGGTGACAAATGGGAGGGCACTGGGCCTTTCTGCTCCTCGCCAGGGTCCAAGAGGTTCTTTCCACAGGCCATCTTCTTAATCTGCCCTAGGTCCCAGGAAGGGGAAGAGTGGGCTCTTGGTACTTACACTTTGATCCTGTGGTTTGCCTTTGGCCATGCTGCTGCCCAACTTCCCCCGGGGACTGACTCCCAGCCCAGTTCCCCTGGCAGGTGGGCTCTGGCACAGGGTCCTGCCCTTGCCGAGGTCCACATCATATCACAGAGGCCAGGAAGGGTTATCACAACCCCGCCCCTACCTGAGGGTATTGGCCTGGCCACAGGGAATTCCTTGCCCTGATCCCTTCCCACACCCAGGGAAATAGCTCTCAATTTTTTAATTTTTGTTTGAAATAAAGTCCTTAGTTAGCCATGTGTCATTTCTGAGTTGTATTTTTTGGGGGGTGGGGTGAGCGGTAAGCGAACAGATGTACCACACGAGCAAGGTGGAGGAAGACTGCTTTCCCTGCCTGTCTCCATCAGCGCCACTCTTCCCAGTGAAAGGCCTCCCTGGGTTTGATCCTCACCCCCTCCTTCAAGTCTACCTTGTCCAAGTCACACCAAAAAGAGCCTGAATGGGGATTAAACCACAAGCAGTTTTAATGGTCTGGTTTTCTCCTTCCCATCTCCCCCACTGTTAGTATCATCACTACAAGAATAAAGGATTCCTGAGAGCCTGTCCCCCTCCTCTCCCTGGGCTCCCTTGACAGGACTCATCCCTACCAGCCCCCCTGGATTTCTGGGAGTGGGGGGAAAACAAGTGAAAGGCACTGTGGGGGATGGGGGCTTGAGTGCCAGGGAACCTAAGGGGTGGTGCTAGGGCAGGGCCGGGCCGGAAGCCCGCCTGAGGGGCTGTGGAGTGTGGCTGCCGGCGTGTCCCTTGGACCTGTCTAGCGGGCCTGGAGGTCCTGCCCTCCCAGTCAGCAGGCTGCGGCAGGAGCACAATTAGTGTTGGGCTGAGAAAGGAAGAAGGGAGAGCCCGCTCTGCTAGGACCCAAGGGCCACACCCACAGCGGGGACTGCAAACGACTATGATGCTCAAGTCTGTTGTCTCTGGGGACTAGGGGGCGAGGAGTGGAACGAAATGTGAGTGTGAGGAACCCCCAGCCTGTGGAGCAGCAGTGACCCGGGCTCCTGGGGAAGAGGAGGGGCCAGTCAGTCCAGGTCTGGGGCTAGTGGTCCCCACTGACTCCTTGCCGAGCCCTGATGAACGCCATGCCGTGTGTGCGGAAATGGGTCTTGAGGTTGAGAGGGCTGTCACAATTCTTGCCACAGACTTTACAGGTCAGTGGGCCTGCAGCAGCAGGCAAGGGTGAGTCTGCACCATCTGGGTCAGACCTCAACAGAGCGGGCGCCTCTTCCTCCCCATCCCCCACACCCAGGGCACCGGCGCTACCCACACCCCGTTTCTTCTTGTGGCTGATGAAGCGGTGCCGGCTCAGGGAGCCAGGGGAGGCAAAGCATAAGCCACAGTCGAGGCACTGCTGGGTCCCACCGTCCACCCTCAGCCCCACCGTGAGGCTCTGCTCCACGGGGCCCCCGCTCCGGGAGCGCAGGGGGCCTCCCGACCCGGGCCCACCCAGCCCGGGGGGCTTGGCCGGAGGTGTGGTGCTGTCAGGCTCCTCACTGCAAGAGTCAGAGGACTGCCGACGCTTCCGTCCCGGCCCCTGGAGGAGACAGGGAAGAACTGGGCCTCCCGTCCCCCCGTGGCCCTGGCCCCCCACCTAGCCTGGAGGCCAGTCTGTGACTGCAGTTCCCACCACGCTGCCCCGGCGGGGGCTTACCTGGGCTCTGGCACCGGGGCCCCGGACCACAACGCTCCCCCGGCCAGGAGACTGGTCCCCGAGCGGCAGGCCGTGCCGGACCTGGACGTGCTTCTCCAGGATGAGGCGGCTGCTGAAGGTGCGTTTCCCTTCCGTGCAATACCTGGAGGGAGAGGCGCGGTGGGTGCCAAGGGCACAGCCCGAGGACCGAGGCCAGTGGCTCCAGAGGAGGACGACTACTAGAGTGTCAACCCTCGTCCACTCGCACAAGAGGCAGGAGGGAAAACACTCGGGGGGGGGGGGGGGGGGGGGGAGGAGACCGGGAAGGGGGGGGGAGTGGGAGGGGTCGCCGCCGGGCAGAAACAGGAAGGGGCAAGAAGAAAAGGGTTACCTGCATGGGTAAACTCGCTTGATACCCTCGTGATTGACCCTGACGTGGCGCCTCAGGCTGGGCGCGGAACAGAAGGATCGCTCACACAGGCGACAGGGAAACTTTTTCACTGACTAGGAGAGCAGGGAGGGGATCCTCAGAGCCAGGCTTGCAGGACCGAGCCCCACTGCCGGATAGGACAACCCCAAGGCTGCCCCTCCAGCCCACCTTGCTCACCTTGCCATGCTCCTTCTTCATGTGAGCCACATACTCATCCCGCTCCGGGAACCAGGAGTGACAAAGGCCACAGCTCCAGCCTCCAGAGCCCCCGCCCCCACCCCCACCCTTGGTGCCTGTGCTCTCCAGATCCTGCCGGGGCCGTTTGGGTGGGCCAGCGGCCTCTGGGGAGCTGGGGAGGTCCTCTTCTGAAGACGAAGACAGCTCCTCTATAGGGGGAGCTACTCCTCCCGGGGAGACAGCCAGCTCCTCAGACTCGGCTTTAGGGGACAGAGGAGTATCCCCGGCCCCTTTCCCAGCAGTCTCCTCTCCCGAGCGACCAGTCTGATGGGTGTTCTGTGAGGGAGACAAGGGGGGACGGCGGTTGTGGGGAGGGCCTGGCTTTGCCACAATCCTTGTTTCCCCCTCTCCCCCTCTCCCGGAAGGTTATGTGACCCTGGCCCCAGGTCAACACAGCCGAGCGCCCCCACTCCAGCCCTCGACTCCGATACCTTGAGGTGATCCAGCATGGTCCGTTTTTGGGCAAAAAGCAGAGGACAAGACGGGCACTTGAAGACGCTGACGCGCTGCGGCAGCAGGTGCTGGTCGAAGTGCGAGGAGAGGAGGGGCTTGTGAGTGAAGACCGTGTCACACATGGCGCACTTGTAGATCATCCTGCGCAGGCGGAGAGGACAGTGCAGACACCTGCCCCTCCGGCCCAAGCCCTCTGGCCCGCCCCTCGTCGCCCCATCCCAGCTCTCACTTGGCCTGCTGCGTGGGGAAGCTGGGGTGCTGCGTGTAGAGGTGGGCGTGGGCGCTGGGTCCAGACTTGAAGGCCATGGGGCAGATGGGGCACTTGTGGAAAACCTCGCAGTGCGACGTCTGGATGTGCGACTTGATGGAGTTCGCACCCCCGAACACCACCGCACAGCTGGGGCACCTTCAGGGAGGAAGGGGAGGCACGGTGGTGAGAGGCCATCTTCATCCCTCCCTCCCCCCACCACACACACACACACACACACACACACACACACACACACACACTCATCCTCAAGGACTGGGTGGACTCTGAGAAGCTCATCGGAGGCGAAGCCTGAACAAGGTGAGGGCAGGAGGGGCTGCAGAGACAATGCCCAGGGGAGCCCACTGAGCAGAGCTGGAGCTGCAGGGGCGCCCTGCTGTCTGCCAGGACACCAGGCCGCGGGACTAAGCAGGAAAGATGGGGCTCTCAGGAGGCATCTGAAAGGCTGGTGCGGGGAACCATGAGGCCAGCAAGGGCCTGAGGGAGTGTGGAGACACCGGGGAAGGAGAGGCACCTGTATCCCACACGGCGAGAGAAGTGCAGGCAGGCCTCCCGGAGGTGCGTCTGGAAGTTCGCCTGCAGGAAGTTGCCCCCGCACTCGGGGCAGACGTGGGGGGGTCGGTTCTTGTGCATGCGCTGGTGGGCGCTGAAGCTGCAGCGATTGGGGAGCATCATGGGGCAGGTTGGGCACACCTGTCAAAAGGGGGAAACAAGGTGAGTCCGGGAGGAGCGGCTTGTCCCCCATTAACATCTCCTGACCAAGCCCCTCGCACCTGCCCAGCCGCCAGCCCCCGGCCTCCCCTTCCCCAGGAAGGGCAGGGAAAGGCACTCACATTGCTGGCGGCCCCAGGGGCAGGGGGCCCAAGCTGCTGGAAGTGGGCAGCCATGCCCGCCTTGTCCCGGCACAGCTCCTTGCACTCCAGGCAGCGAAAGCACGTGTAAGTAGAGGTGGCAGGGGCGGCAGGCGGCTCAGCGGAGAGTGGCAGCACGGGGGCCTCAGCAGCAACCGTAGAGATGGCAAAGGTGGCGATGGCCCCGTCGCCCTTGCCCAAGGCAGACAGGACGGAAGGTCCGAGGCCCGGGGGGACGGCCAGCAGGGGCGTGATGTCCGGCTGCCCCACCATCTGGTCCAGGGCCACGGGCCTCATGACCAGGTGCGAGCACTGCATGACCAGCCCCTTGTCCTTGTGCTCGCGGGCGTGCAGCAGCAGGCTGCACTTGTTGAAGAAGACCAGGCGGCGCGCGCAGTGGTTGCAGGTGACCTCGATGCGCATGCTCCGGCGGTCGTAGTGGCGGGCCAGGCTCTTCTCCAGGGAGAAGGCGTCCCCGCACTCCAGGCAGCGGTAGCCGGAGGGCGGCAGGGCCAGCCCGGCCTCCGCGGGCGGGCTCAGGTTCGGCCGGTAGGCGGGCAGCAGGTTCTTGGCGTTGAGGATCTTGTTGAAGGCCTCCACCAGGCTGGACTGCGTCCGCGAGATCACCGTGCCGCCCCCCGCGCCTGGCACGGGGGCTGGCTTGGAAGGCTGCACTATCACCACGGAGGCCCCGTTCACCTTCTGTCCCGCTATGCCCAGCCCG